TTTCAGCATTTTCGAAAAAATCGAAAAATTCAAAAATTCAAGATTGTTCCAGATACATCCTCCTCATCGAAGACGATTCAGTTGTTATCCCAGAATTCTCCACCCTTCTAAAATCGCTAGTTTGGAAATTAGACTATCATGAATATGTGGATTTTGTCAAGCTGTATCACCCGAATTATCTAAGGAAACTGCCGTCCTATGTTATGGTGAGTTTTTTTTCGTATGGTAGATCAAAAAATTCTCTATCGATCGGTCCATTTTCAGACCCTAACCCAAACCAATCGATACCAAATTTTTTGATCTACCGGTTTTTTTTTCAAAAAAAATCAATAATTTTCCAGATGGGTGCCATCTCCATTCCAATCTCCTTTTTCTCGTGCTACGCCATCAAACCATTCTTCAAAACATTCCCAATTTTAACATTTCTTTGCCTAGCCTTTGCCATTTTTTGGGATCTCAAATCGTACGGGTGTCAGGTAAGAAAAAAATACGGTTTTGAATTGTCCGGTTTCAAAATGCCCGGTTCCAAATTTCCGGTTCTGAAAAATCTCGGTTTCAAAGTGTCACGGTTTCGAAATGTCCGGTTTCCAAACGTCCCGGTTACAAAATTTCCGGTTACAAAATGTTTTGGTTTCAAAGTGGCCGGTTTCAAAACGTATCGGTTCTAGAATGTCCGGTTTCCAAGTGGCCGGTTTCGAAATGTCCGGTTCCCAAACGTCCATTTTCAGTTCCCAGCGGATTTCCGCTTCTACCTAACCGGTTCTGCCTACATATCCTATCCCGAGTCGTGTTGCACCCCAGCTGTGATTTTTCGAACTTCTTCTGTGAAAAATATGGTAGATTACTTCCAGAAATCCATTGGTTTCAGTGGTAAGTTCCCCTACGGAACCCCCAAGAATCCAAGAAACCCAAAATTCCAGGACACGCCAAGGACCACATTCTCGACGAGGCTCCGTTCACTGGCCGTCAATCCGATGTTAACTATGTCACCCATATTGGGTCGTTCAGCTCTGTCCGGCAGAGAGCCGTGTTTTTGTCGGATTTGAGGGATGATGTGTGACTTTTTTTTATGAATAAAGTGTTCTTGGAAATGATTTTGTGTGTTAGGAATAAAGAAAAAAAGAAAAAAAAGATTTGACCCCAGTGGGGGTCGAACCCGCGTCTAAGATTTACAAAACGGGCGCGCTATCCACTAGGCCGCGGGCGCAGACAATGACACGGAGGGGGAGGGCGTAGACATTCTTTCTCTTTCTCTACCTCTGCCCTGAAGAGGGGGGGAGAGGCGCCATTCATTAAAAAAAAGTGTCCAGGTGGCTCAGTGGATCTTTGGTTCTAGTCTGAAGAAAAATAGCCCCGGGTTCGATTCCCCGGGGAGGCATTTCTTTTTGTTTTTTCTTTTAATAGTTTTTCATATGATTCTGACCTGTCAGAGACCCAGAAAAATTCCCTATTCGGAGATCAAAGTGGATAATTTTCGATTTTTATGCATTTTTTTTTACAAAATTTAATTAGGCCTATGCAAAAAATTCCGGAAGTTCGAATGAAAAATCAATACTCTTTTCCCCCCAATGATGCCATCTGAAAAATGCTAGATTGCGAGCGATAAGAAAAAAGTCACAGCCGTCACTCTTATCAATATTTCGAAAACTGGGCACA